AAACTAACAAAATAAAGATGACAAATTAAAATTAGTAAAATACAATTTAAGACTTTTTTAGTGAATATTGTAGACCATTGAAATAATTTTTAAATTTTATTAACATTTCGGGGAGGGGGGGGCTGCAGCCCCCTCAGCCCTCCCCCTGGCTACGCCACTGTAATACATATATTATAGAAAATATCAATAACGTAAATATCTATTTTAGCCTATAAATGTATGYTTAACGCTTAACGTATCATTTATATCAAGACATTATGCGCAAGATACGTCATATAGTCGTGTTTAGCTTAATTTCGCAGATCTGGCTAATGGTATTTTTTTTTATATTTTTTTTTATGAAATATTCATTGTATAAGATCAGGTACCCCACTATACATAAAAATTCTAAAAATTAGTTTAGAGTAAATTTATATTTTCCAGTATAATATACTGTATATTATAATATGTATATATATTAATAATTATGAGCACATTGCCAGTATGGCCAGATATCACAAACAGAAAACACAAGTCTAAGGTTACGTTAAGAGATTTATAACAATGATTTTGTTTTCTTAAAAGTTCTATCCGAAAATGGAAATTTTAGATAACCGTTGAATATCTTGAATGTATTAACGTAGTGGAACTTAAATAATCTATATTTAATATTAAAGAAAATTTGATAACTTTGAGTTYCATTGAAAAGGGAAGAATAGTATTATTGTGTCTTATCTAATGAAGAATCAAATAATAATTATATGATATTGTCTTTTCAAATTCTTAAGTGACAGTTGACATCGGCAGTGACTGTGATGTATGGGCGTTATACCTACTGTTTATTATTTCATTACCTTAATGCCTTGTTTACACGTGACGAGTACTCGGCCGAGCACTGTCCCGTGTGAACTCAAGGAACCAGTACTCGGCCTAGTAATCGGACGAGTAAAATAAGCAGGCGAGTGAATAGAAACAGTTTCTATTCGCTGGGCCGAGTGACTACCCCCACTACCAAGACCGAGCAACATAACGAGTGACACGGCCGAGTACTCGTCACGTGTAAACAAGGCAATACTCTTCTGTATAGCCTATACAGAAGTAAACTCTCCATATTATATATATGTTGGACTTTTCTCAATAAATTGACTCACTTCAATTGATTCTTCTTAGTAAATAGTACTATCTACTATCTATGCGATTGTTCATTAATCGTTATTCGATGTTCCACTTTATGCCACATTTTATACGGTATCTTCCACAACTATTAATATATTAATATTAAATTACTTTCTTAGTTATAATTAGTTACCTACTATAATCTTCATGTTTAAAAATAATTTTATGACAATATGATATTTATAGATTATAAATTCTAAAAAACCTTCAGAGAGGAAGTGAATATTAATTTTGGAGTTCCATTTTTCAAATATTAACCCTTGACAGTCTTGACACATTTTTGGCTTTTCTTCAAGGAGTTGTTTACCACCTATACCAAAATTTGTTACTTGTAAATATTATTATATGTATTAAACGGGCGTGTCGTCTGTTACCGCACAACTGTTCAAAATACACATGAAACAAAACTGCACACAAATTTTAAAATACCGCAAACGTATAATATTATATTTAACAATTATCTGCGCTTATCAATTATCAATAATGATCTATAAAGATATTATCATAAACAACTTACTCTACATTTGTTCAATTGTTCAATTTTGTTTGAATTTGATTATAATTATTATTTAAATAGTGTCAGTATTCAATATAAAAATGGTGATATACTGATATCTGGTTCTGCATTTTTCAGTGTAAAATTCAAGACAAGCGTGGTAATAATCGCAGTTTTTTTTTGGAAGTTTCAATATCTGTTTTTTTTTGTCAAAGCAAACATTTTTAATAACGTAGTTTAATACAATATACAGTCGTGTTGTGGTTTAATTTTTGTTTTATTTGTTAAATATTACATTCTTTGACTATTTGTTTAAAATACATTAGAAATTCATGAAAATTATTTCAGAATTTACATATCAGTTATTACACGATGAATATTTATCACTTTATAACTTTAAAATATACGGTATCACGGTATTATGTGATAACAGATATAAACAAACCCCACACAGCATATGGCATCCAACTTCAATGTAATATAATGGCCGAATAGGTATTTGGCCATCTAATAGTTTTATATATATATGGATATTATTAAGTTTTATCTGTAAAAGATTGTAGTGTGTAGTATATGTATTGTATGTAGTTTGTAGAGAGTTCTCAGTCGGAAATTATAGTCTTTGATGTGACATTTAAAATACAATTATTATAATATTTAAACTTTTATGATTTTAGAACTAATTAAAGTTTGGCAGATATTGTTTGGAGATATATGCAAAAAATATATTGTAGTTATTACCAACAATAAAAAAACGGTTTTAGTTCGGAGTATATGATCACCAACAACGATGAAGACAATGATAAACTAAAAAAAGAATTACAAAAAATTCGAACAGTTATTATATATACGTAGGTAAAGCTGTTGAAAATGTAAATGAAAGCAAATAAAAATAATTCGAAATAGATCGCAATTTCAATCCACCATTATTAATTCTCGATTTTGAAGTCAGAGCTCATAGTTCATACTACAGCGAGTAATGTATTAAATACGAGTAAATACTAAAATTAAAGCATGTCGATTGAATTTGTGTCAAACATGGTATCGAAAAATAAATTCTATTCCAATACTTCATAAAGAGTACAAAAATAATAATTCAGAGATTGGGAAGTGGTTTAAAATGTTTTTCGGATCACCGTGTTTACCTGTATAGACAGTGGCAAATTTGAGGAGGGGAGGTTAGTGGCGAATACACCTCTTTCTTTTTTTACTTAAAAAGTAGCACCGTATGATAAAATGAATGTGAAATTCGTAAGTCATAACTATAACTATAACTTCAAACTTGTAAATAAATGATATACGAGTAAAAAAATGTATTTTTTTTAAATAGGTATGAAAATCGGAAATGTGTATTCTGTTACGTCTTTGTTAGAAYCTATCAATCTATGATACGAATTCGCCCCTTCCTCAAATGATCTTCAGATCCGCTACAGATTATAAATTTAGTTTATATTGGCGTTTTAATTGATGATCTAATATTGTATACAAAATGCATGGAATTTTCAAATT